TGTTTGGATGATTGATTCATCCTTCAGTCTGCAGGTCGACGATCATTTAGAAAAACAATATTTAATATAGTTTGGACGATTCTTTCTTCTTTCTTTGTCTTAAAGCTGTGCGATCAAAGGGTTTAATAGTGTGGACCGTCCCCCACACCTCTAAGCTAACACTCATTTTACCACTTTAATCGAACCAGTGCAGCTTTAATCCTGGAAATATAATATGTGTTATTATATATATATAATATGTGTTTTTCCCCATGATAGAGAAACTCTGCTGTAGTAAAAGACAGAAACCTAAAGTGTAAGAAATGAGTGTGTAAACAGTTCTGTTCTCATTACTGTCATTATAAAACTGAAAGGTTTTGTTAATTAATGGTTTAATTATTTATATAGCACATTTAATTACAACAGGACCAAAGTGCTGTACAAGAATACAACATACATAATAAAATAACAAATAACACAAAATCTATTTTTTTTGTCTTTTATTTAATTTACTGTGGACCCATTGTATTAAAAAAAAATTAAAATATTTCTTTCTGATCTCTTTTAGGGCTGTTTGATATAACGATATATCCGATGATTCACATTACGCTAACGTTTGTTTCGTGGTGTTGCAAATGTGCATTTTTTGTATATTTTTTCCGTTTTGTATGAAAAAATACAAAATCACATCTTGTATTTATTTGTATTTATTTCTTAAGGTTCTCTCTTTCTCTCATATTTAATATAAACACACTACGGACAGACAAGCGACTGTTTTCATGCGTTGACGGTAAAACCATCGCGTGGCTCCTGCGTCCGCTTGTTTATTTCCCACATAAACCTTTCACAATAAAGCTCAAGATCCTGTTGAAATTTTAAAAAATAAACTGAATCAAGTGAAAGAGTACACAGAGTGTTTACAGATGAAAAGCAAACAAATAAACCTTAGAACAGGCTTTTTCCCGCAGCTCGGGGATAATGAATAAATAATAAATACTCACAAAGAAAATGTCTAAAAATGTATCGTTTCATGCATCGGTCAAAACAACTACTCCAGGTGACCTGCAAAATAAAATAAAATCCAGAGATTCACAGAATTTACAGAAAATGTAAACAATGTGTGATATATATCGTTGCCGGGACGATAAATGTCTTATATCCAGCTTTTAGTCATATCGCACAGGCCTAATTTCTTTGTCGGTCTGTTACTTGATTACTTTGGTGTTATTAGCAGAGAACTTTATTAGCTACACAAAGTGTGAAACGTGAAAACACAGTTAAAGGTCTAAACCTTAAATTAGTGCAGTCCAGCAGGCCAGATTGGAGCTTTAGACGTGTTTTTCATGTGGAAAATGTCAGTGCACACTGAAAATAATACCAAAATGAAGTAACAGTTAATAGGAAATGACTTTAATTTGTATCTCTTTCAGTTTGATCCAATTTTTCGGCACAGCCTGAAGTGTCACAGTCTCCGTTCACGTCTACACGACTGACAAATGTTTGATTAAAGAAACTGTGAGAACGAATCTTTAAAAAAGCAAATCTGCAATAATAACAAAGGCCAGTTTCCATAATGTTGGATTTTCTAAGCCTAACAAAAGTCATCGTGTGGGATTTATGCTATTTTGAAAGCATTCATCCGTCACAGCCAATAGCTACGAGCGCCACAGACACTAAACAGGAAGTGAGCCACGTAAAAATGTAAAACATGTCCGTCGGGCCTCAAATGTTTCCACGCCCGCCTCACTGAGCCCTCGCGATGATTTTATTGATGTATTCGTGTTATTTTGACGGCACCTGTCTGTCACAGTCAGCAGAATGAACAAAGGTGCGTATTAAACGAGCGCCGCTAAAGAGGAAGTGAGATCACATCTCAGAAAACGCCCTATCAGTGCTTCCAGCTGTGCTCGTGACACGCTAAATTTAAGCTCGCAGCAGAGCGGCGCGCTGATTTATGCAGAGTACAGCACCAAGACGTTTGTGTGGATGTAGGCTGCAGCATCAAAGCCTGAGCTGAGCTGTCATATTAAAGGTGGGGGAACACCACCCTCCCCTGTAAACGAGTCCTGCAGCGCGCTCAGATTTATCGCTCTGAGCTCTGACTGAAAACAGCAGCATTAATGTTGCATTTGTGTGGGACTACTTTCTGCAGAGGACTGATATGAACGTGTGGTGGTTGTGGAGGTCTAAGAGGCTTAAGAAGAGGGAAAGTGTGAGAAACGTCTGCATTTTTCACCGTGTGTGTCAGGGTTAAGCCTCCTGAGCCTCGCTCCTCCAACGCTGATTACACACCATCACTCACGGCAGATATTACACATGTGCAGGCGTGCTTCGAATGTGTGTTTGTCGGGGTGTAGCCTGGTCTTCTTCACCTGTCCTCCTTCCTCCACAGAGACTCGCAGAGGGAGAAAGAGGCTTTGTGTTGTATGACCGTCTGTGTTTTTACTTTCCCTGATTGAAGCCGCTGAAAGACCTCCAGTGGGTGTTCTGGCTGAACCTGCTGACTCCCAGTGAAAACTCTAAAACTATCAGAGCTGATCTGGTTCTGTTGCTCCGTCTGAGGCCTCTGAGTTTCTGTCTGCCGGAGTCACCGAGTGGTTCTGATGGTTTCAGGGTTTGTTGAGCTTCCAGTGGACGCGAGTGCACAAGTTCAGAGACACCTAGGTGTTTTCAAAAGAGGTCGTAAAAGACGTGATTTTTAAAAAAGACCCGTTAAATTTTACATGACTTTAAGGAGCTCTGGAACATGGGATGTTTTCAAAGGGGCATTTTAGTAAAATTGAAGAGTTTTTGCATTAAATACAATGTTGGAGGCATCTGAGTGGCTGAGAGGCTTTGATACACCTTGACTGTGGGGATGATTTAAGGCTTCAGGCTGACTTTTAGGAGGTTTTAAGCTTTATAAGGTTGGAAGAAGCTGTTTTACAGGAGGTTTGAAGAGCATTTAGGAGAACTTTGGAGGAAGTTTAGTAGGGCGATATGACCAAAATCTCATATCCCGATATAAGAATTCATCTATCGTCTGATAACGATATAAATCACAAAAATGTAATATTTTCTGTAAATTCTGTGAATCTCGGGCAGCTCGACTTGCGTGAAGTGTTTCCAGCTGGGCGTCATGTAGCTGGAGTCGAGTGTTTTAACCGATGCATGAAACGATACATTTTTAGACATAAGTTGTAACGGCGCCGTTTTCTTTGTATTTATTACACGGCGTGCTGCGGGGAAAAGCCTGTTCTAACGTTTGAGTCTAAGCTTTATTTTTTAGCACCTGGCGTCTTTTTTACTTCTCATCTGTAAATAATCTGCTCTTTAACGTGATTCAGTTTATTTTGAAAAGTCTCAACAGGATCTTGAGCTTTATTGTGAAAGGTTTATGTGGAAAAAAGCAGACAGGCGATGGTTTTACCGTCGTTGTTGCTAATGACAACGCATAAAAACAGGCGCTTGTCCGTCCGTAGTGTGGTTATATTAAATATAAGAGAAAGAGAGAACTTTAAGACATTAATAATAACTACAGTGACATCAAAACGATGAAAAAATGTCGCCGTAAACAGTTTATTTTGCGACACCACGAAACAAACGATAGACGTTTTTATATCGTCATCCGATATGTATCATTATATCAAACAGCCCTAATTTTTAGGGAATTTAGGGCCTTTTTAGAGGTTTTGAAAAACTTATAGGAGGCTGCTGGGACCATTGAGTCTGGAAAGATTCCCAAGTGGCATCACTGCTGTTTGAGGAACTTGTTGATAACCTCGAGGGGTTTTACAGATAACTTTAATGCAGTTTCAACAAATGATATTTTAAGGAAGGACCTTTAACACATCTAGGCTTCAAAGAACCATCAGGAGGTTGTTGTGCTCTTACATTACCAGTTTGTGGTCATTTGGGTGACTGTTAAGAGGCTTTTCGACATCTTTAGAAGGTTGTGGGGGTCCATTGGGAGTCTCGTGACTTGAAGGTATGTTGAGGACCTTAAGAGGGTCTTTTAAAAGGTTTTAAGCAAACTTGAAGAGGTTTTAAATAACATTTGCAGCTGTTTTAAGAGGTTTGGAAACACTTGTAGGAGGCTGCTGGGATCTTTAAAATGGTCCAAGAAGTCCTGAAAGGTCCCAGGTGACATCAGTGCTGCTTGAGGACGTTGCTGACAAACTCAAGGAGGGTGTTTGAGGGATGTTTCAAGGGGCACAAGCATGTCGTTGGAGCGTTTGAGGAGAGTGTGCCTGTGGAGGACTGTGTCGAGGTTTTAGAGGAGTGCTCAGTAGCTGAAGACCTGCAGTGGGATGACCTTTGGGTGATTTTTAGATGTTTTAATTGGACTTGCTGACTGTTGCTGTCTGTTTCAGACGTGCTGATGAACACCAAGCTGGCCACATCTGACCTAAGATGGACGAGCTACCCTGCTGATGACTCGCAGGTACGCATCAAAGCTAATCTGTTAGCTTGTAGCTAACACTTTGCAGTGCTTTGAATGAAAAGCTCACCTGTGACCTCTGTCCTCAGTGGGAGGAAGCGAGCTCGAGGGACGATCACCAAAACACTGTGCGGACCTACGAGATCTGCACCATCACCAGCACTTCTTCCTATTGGCTGAGGACGCGCTGGATCCCTCTGAAGGCGGCGACCACGGTCTACGTGGAGATCTGGTTGGTGGACAGTTGTTTGATGTTGATTAACGCGGAGAAACGAATATGACTCTGAACGTGTCGGCGCAGGTTTTCCATGATGGAGTGTTCCAGCCTGAGGCAGCCGTGTAAAGAGACCTTCAACCTGTACCACTACCCGTCAGACGCCGACGACGCCACGCCCACCAGCCCGGCCTGGATGGAGAACCCTTACATCAAAGTGGCGACAGTCGCCGCCGACCACCTGATGCTGCGTGGCGCCAGGGGCCGCCCTAATGTCAAGGTGCTGCGTCTGGAGGGGCTGCGTAAGGCGGGGCTTTACCTGGCCTTCCAAAGCCAGAGCGCCTGCATGGCGTTGCTCTC